CGAAGAGCATCAAAGAAGACAAAAGAATCAGCAATACGAAGAACTAGAACAGCAAACAGAATATCTGACAAAGAAACAGACTCTGACCGAAACCGAAGAACGAGTTCTCAACACAACAGGAACGGCACTGCAACAAAAATTTCAAAGAGACGCCAAACGCCGAATACTACAGAACTACAACCTAAACCAAAACCCCCAAAAAATACAACGACCCATTTTTCCCAACCAAACCTCCCCCCACACACCACCCCAACTCAAAACCCTTAAAATACAAGACACCCTTATCACGGAACCTAACCGAATCCGGCAAGAAGTGCGAAATTACTACCGAGAATTCTACAACTCAAAAGGAAACAACCCCAACATAAGAGAAGACCTATTCTCCGAAATACCAACCCTAGACGAAGATGAACAACACAAATGCGACGCCCCATTAACCTTGAATGAACTCCTAAGTGTTCTCCAAAACTCCAAGCCAGGAAAATCCCCCGGGCTAGATGGGCTCACCTATGAATTTTATAAGCAATTCTGGAAAGAGCTAAGCCCCTTCCTCCTACAAGTGGCCAACACAAGCTTTCAAAAGGAACAACTGCCCGCATCCATGCTTAACGGAATCGTCACCCTCATTCCCAAGAAAGGAGACCTCGCACAACTGGACAATTGGAGACCCATCACCTTACTGAACACTGATTACAAGCTAATAACACGCGCACTCGCCAAACGACTGACAGCAGTGCTACCCCAATTCATCACCTCCGATCAGAGCTACTGTATACCCAACAGAAGCATTCACACCAACCTACACCTTATCCGGGACTACATAGACTACGTCAACCAACACGATCTCCTACTCGCAGTCATATCGCTAGATCAAGCCTCCGCGTATGACTGCGTCGAACACCCATACATATTCCATGTACTAGAAAAGTTCGGTTTCGGCAAAATCTTCATTAAAAACATACGCACAATATACCGCAATGCCCAAGGGCTAGTGAAGATCAGCGGTGTGCTCACAGCCCCCTTCCCATATGCCAGAGGAATTCGACAAGGAGACCCCCTCTCCGGACCACTATTCACCCTAACCATTGAACCCTTTCTACTAATGTGTAACAACAACCTTCAGAATTATGGGCTCACAGTACCCTCCACCGACCACAGAACACTCGTCACCACTGCATATGCGGATGACGTCACTGTCTTCATCACCAAAAACGAAGGGCTTCCGCAACTACTAAATACTTTCATGACCTATGGAGCCCTATCAGGTGCCACACTTGACATACAGAAGTCAACAGGTCTATTCGAAGGAAACTGGAGAACCCGCAAAGACAACCCCTTAGGATTCCAATGGAGTACGCAAGGAGGGAAGTTCCTTGGAATCTACCTTGGCAATACAACAGCCTGGCAACAGCAAAACTGGGACGAACTGGAAACCAAAACCAGAACGGTACTTCACCAATGGACGAAAATCTCCTCTACTACGTCCTTCCAAGACCGGAAGCGCACACTCAACCAGATAGTTAGCGCCAAACTCACTCATGTACTCACAATACTACAACCCACCAGTGAATTCCTCCATACAATAGACAAATTAATAGTACAGTTCATATGGCAAGGACAGCATCTAAAGCACCCAAACTTCATCTATGGAAAACTNTCTAGAAGACGGCGGGAATAGGAGTCCATCACCTCCCCAGCCTCATACAAAACCTAAGAATCACATTCCTAACCAAATTCATCATGAACAATAACAGAGGGAACGCATGGCTCTTCCAGGCTTACAACAACCGAGCATATGCCCCAGCAATAGAAGCAGAGGATATCCTCAAGCTAAGGCTAAAATCAGCCAAATATTCAGCAACGCCATCATTCTACGCCAGCGCCTTGAAGGCCTGGCACACCATGAACCCCATCCAAAAGCCCAACCTCCAATCCTATGACAACCTAAGGAGCACCCCCATACAAGATTCCACACCCTTAACCCCACACATCTCCGGCCACAGCATGTACTTTGAAAAGACCTGGAGCACTCTAAGCATCAACTACCTAGGTGACTTCCTCCAAGACAACGGTGACTGGATAAAAATAGAGAATATCAACACGGAACAATGCACCCAACCAACCATCCGCAGACTGAAAGCCAATCTGAAAACAGCCGAAATATTTTTCCGACACCATTATCCCAACCTGCCGGCCAAAGCCACGCCCCACCAACCCCACCATACCTTCGTCGTCCGAAAATCCAGCAACCAATCAATTCCGCTCCCCATACCCAAACGCAGTGTACAAACACCTCCTCAAGCTGAACCTAAATAGACACATTTTGGTAAACGGCGAATGCTGCTGGAATTTAGGGAAACCCAAATGGGAAGCAGTATATCACCCCCCCCCCCAATCACAATAAAAAACAGCACAATGACCTG